GTGTGGCTGGTTATATGTTGCTGGCCTCTGTAATCAGTGCCAGTCTATGGAAGCTGCACGAGAGGTGAGTTTCATTCCTCAGCACACAGCAAGGAAAAGTGTTAGAAACACAAAGTATCATTCTTAATAACTTACATCAATAGTGTGCAACTACTATTTATGATTTGTGTGCCTGGCATCAATTTTGCACTTTTAGTTTTGTTAATATTTTGTAAAACACTTTCTGTGCTAAGTTAAAGTCAACATGACGCTCTGTTGTAGTGTGCTGAGGGAAGCTGAACCATTGCATTGATTCCAACCGATCTGTTCTCATTCAGGTACATCATTTATTATTGTATTTTTTATTGAATGTTAAAATATTAATGTACTGTAATCAGTGCCAGTCTATGGAAGCTGCACGAGAGTGTGCTGAGGGAAGCTGAACCATTGCATTGATTCCAACCCGATCTGTTCTCATTCAGGAAATAACTGCCTGTTCACCCAGACTCCTGGTCTTCACTAAAACATCTACACAACGCAGAGTCGAGGGGTTACTTGGGTCGGCCTGGTACAGTGGTGTGAAGCAGAACCCGGTTACACATACAATAATTCAATCTAAGGTTTACCTAAAGTCATATAGAGGAAAAGGGCGCACAGCAATATGTAAAACTGAGATTTAATTTGTGGTCTTTGCATTATCATTGAAAAACCTTCCTCCCACCATTAAGCATGCTGTGGGAATGTCATTTAACAGTATGGATAAAGAAGCTGGTCATATTTTGTAGATAGCTGAAAGTAGGTGCAGAGCAGGCCTAGACAAAATCAGACTGCAAAAGTCTTGAGATTTTCTTTTACCTTCCAGAAGGACAACAAATGTTAAAATGGAATGCTTTAGATCAAAACTAATACATGTGCTAAAATGGCTCAGGTAAATCCAAACTGTATTTACAACTAAGAAAAGGCAAAATGAAAATTTGCAAATGTCTTAGGTTTTACCCATTTTTCCCCAAATTACCAAGGTCTTCAAATATGAAAAGCTGCAGTTTAACGTTAGTTTAGGTCTGCCAACTTGTGGGATTTTTAGTGTTTTTATTTTTTTTAGATTCAACTGAAGAAATTGCAGGCTGCTACCAACAGACTCTAAAGATCCAATTTAAAATTGATTCTTTGCTAAGCTGTCTGTTGTCTGTGTGTGGACAAAACACTGCTGCAAAATCAATGATTTGATGTTGGTTGTGTTTCCTTAGAGGTAAATGTTTGTTTCCCCTCGACTGGTTTAAAAACAATAAATAAATAAAATAAAATATACAAAAAAAGAAAGAAAGAAAAAAGAACAGAATCTCACTGCACAGGGTCATAAGTAGGATTAATCTGAAAAGTGTGCAATTGAATTTTATTCTATCTGTGTGGTTTTGCTGATTTGAATATTTAAAATTAATTCAATGCATAATTTGGACTGTTTTGTTTTGCAAAATGCCTTGAGGTGGCATTTACCATGAATTAGTGCTGAATAAAGAAATTGAATTTAACAGACTTATAAAGGTAGGAGTTTTTTTTTTTTCATTAAATGTTTGTACACAAGATTATAAAAATATTATGGAAGCAAAATAACTTTTAATCTTCTGATAATATTATAATGGTGAGTTGTTTTTGGGACCTAAAACCTAGAAATGATAAATTGCTAAATTTATATGTACAAGGATTAAAAACTCAGTTGAAACAAAATAAAAAGATACATGGTGGCTTCACAGACATAGAATAATACTAATAACAATAAGAAGACAAATACACAAGTTTCAATGCCAAAGTACTTAGGTGACTCTGGACTTCTATACTTTGCAGTCTATTGATAAGACACTGAATGGAGAGTAAAAAACCGTGATTAATTAGAAAACATTTTTAGTATCCACTGAGAGACATGGATATAAGTACTTCTGATTTTGTAGCTGTGTTTGGCTTTGAAGTATCCAACAGATCAGGCATGAAAGGCGACAGATGTGCCCTTTCCCACTATGTGCTGTATGTCTCTGTATTATCTAACACTGATGTCCTTTTTTGCTCTTTCAAGATTCAGGCCCTTCAGTTGACCAAACATGTTGTTCACTCTACCTGAAAAATGTCCAATTATACTGTTAACCTCAACATCGTAAACATACTGTCCTAAAATTCAAAACAGGTAAATACTGAACAACACTAAACAGTATACCAAGGTTAAATTGCAAGGGTGAAAATCTCTCCTTATCTTTGCTTCAATTTGATTATTTCTACTAATGCATCAATCTGACTTCTACCTGTTTTATTCTGATCAGTCACAGAAAGGCGAGATTCACAGGTTCATATTCTACAGTGGGATTTTGCTCTGTAGAGCGACAGTACAGGCAGAAGGCAGGCAGGTTCATGGTGAAAGCGAAGAAGTGTATTAGAGCAGAATCCGAACTGAATGTGAAGAAGAATGCATAAGAGCAACATCTGTTGTCCAATTCAAAAACGGTAAGAAAAATTAAGCACTAAGCGAGAGTAACACATTGGGATCTGATAAGGGCTAAATGAACCCTGAGGAATTTTACAGAATTAAAACAGAGGACTCTGATTAAATGACGTTGGAAAGGCTCTGGGGGAGCAGCAAATGAGGGAGCTGGGTGAAAAAATTGTTAATCACAAGCATTAGGCAATAATCAAAACAAAGCAGACACAACAACTTGAGCAAGAACCCAAACCTACGCATAAACTCCCCCAAAAAATACAGAACAAAATCACAACATTAAGACAAAGTCTCTCAACGCCAGCTTCATGCACCTATTCAGACTCTCCAATGGGAGAGTCAAAAAGCCATCAGGACCCAAAGAGGTACAGAGTTATCTCAGAGGCACCTATGGTCACCAACAGGGCTAGAATAGAACAGCTGAATATAACTTTGGGGAAATTCGGATAACGGCAACATCAGGGCTTGTAGGGTCACAAAAAGATTTTTTAAAAATGGATGGATGGACGGCCGGTCTAGACTCTGAAGGTCAATGGACCAGTGGTGGAGGTGACCAGGTCCAGAGAAGGTCCAGCTTTAATGCCTCAGTGTCATGCAACGTTTGGGTGTGTCCCTCGAATCAAATGGTTGATTCCAGTCAAGTTCATCTTTGAATGCAGAACACAGGCTTGGATTTTAAGACCAATATATGCTCCACGGGGCGATCTAAAAGCTGTGCATAGTAATAAAGAAATCTACGAACAGATGTTACATGAATAACAATGAATTTATGGAAGACACTGCACAAAAATAGTTAGCAAATTCTCAAAATAAAATCCATAAAATAAAAGGGGTACACAACTCAAAAGAGAAATAATACAGAAAACAATCGCAATGTTGACACAAAGTTCTTTAACACATGTTACAGGGTTTCATTGTATTTTATTTGGATATGGTATTTTTAAATGTATCTGCAGCAAACGTTAGTTATTTTTTAGTTAAAAAGAAAACTTGAACGTCAAACTAGTCTTCATATTTTCATTTTTTAATTAACGCATCACAGACTTTTTTTGGTCTCTTTTCAATAATAAAACTGAATCTCTAGCATGTCCTTACATTAATGTCAATGATGAGTTGAAAAGATCATGCATTATCTGTAACTGGTAATAATTACTAATTCTTGTCTATCAACTCAGATGTAGACTTAAGCTAAATCCTTCTTTAGTTTTCCCCCCAGATCATTTGGTCATAAGAAAGCCTTTTAAGATGCTGCCACACGGTTTTTGCTTACTTCTTAATTCTTGCTTCCAGTTAGTTGAAGAGTGCTGGCATCAGCTTATAAGTCATAACTCTTGGTGGCTTGCTGCCAAAATAAATATTTTATCTGTTTGATAAAGACATAAATGCACTCCATTCATTGGGTCTTCAAGAGGCAGCCGGCTGAAAAGGCCTGGAGTCAAAACCCCGTTTAAGTTGAGTGTCCAGTTAAACACGTGATGAGCCAACTGCTGATGAGTGGCAAAAAAAACACCCAAACTCTATTCTTTTCATTGAAACACATTCATTTTTGGTTCATTTCTGTACTGCCCTTATTTTTGTCACTATTTTTATTTGTTCATTTTACAAATGGCAACTTTATGTTGGTGTACAGTCTAATATATTTCTGTATCATTTCACCGTACTTTACATTAAGTTATAATAATATTGTTTTCTGAAAAACAATATACTGATGTGCACATTTGACATCTGCAACTGAATGCACAGCCATTTGTCATTTCATAGCAATTTGACATCTTATATGGCAAAGTGTGGCTTTGAACGACTTATAGAAACATGACTTATGTAAAATTTTCTCTTTATTCAAATACAGAAGATCTATAGTTTCATCATTCATTTCCACAATTGTTTGTAAGCAATACTAATTATACTTTCATTATACAGATTCATTCTTAAAGTAAATACAATGAACGTAAAGCTCTAAAAGAAATCAACAAGAAAGTACTGAACTTTATTATGCCCAATGTCTTGTGGAGCAGTTCTAAAAGAAATATTTACCTATCAGGGTGGAATGCGAACTCACTGAATTTTTAATGTTTAACCAAAACCATATTTTAATTCTGTTAGTTATTTAATCAAGCTAATAGAATCAAATACTGGTGGATCCTAAAATCACATGCATGTCAGCCAAACTAACTCAAATACTAACCAAATCTACCTTTTATTTAAGGCATCCTTTAACAACATAGACATAATTTTCTTTGGGAATAATTAATTATTTTTGAATTGGAACTGAGCAAAATAAAATTGTGTGTTCTATTTTGAGGAACTGAAAATGTGTATTTTTGCTGTATTAGAGTTAAAGCAATGTGTATTTTTCCAAATAAGGTTTTAATTAAATATTGTGAGAGTACTACAGCAATACTACGTTTGCCTAAGCTTTCAGCTGTTCGTCTTAACGACAATTTTGGCGGAGATTATTGAAGTGGGCTGTTGCGTTTAAAAAAAAAATGGGTCAAAGACTCCATTTCCCACAATCCAGCTGCCCATTCTTCGTCGTCGAACAAAAACGCGGAAACAAAAGAACTAATCAGTTTTTCAAAACAAGCAACGAGTCGGCATAAAGTGAGCCTTGTCGTGGGTGACAGCTGTCAGAGTTTAGACCGTAGCTTCTCATAACCCACTCACAAAGACTTAGCATGGCTTTGAAGAGAATACAGAAGGTGAGAACAGTCGTCTTTTCGTAGTTTGTTTAATGTGCCCGACGGGATGAAGCTATGCGGCGGAAACGCCTATGTAATGTTAGCCATCTGTTTGTTAGCCGTTTCTGGCGGCTGTTTGTTGTAACTTTTCATTTTCTCGATTTTGAACAGTTAGCAGGCTGCTAACTGCTTCAGCAGTCAGCTTTTGAATCAATCAAACTTTTGATTAATTTGTGCCTTAAAAAGAATAAATAAAAAATCATATTTCCTGCTGATGTCGCTGATTTGCAGAGTGGTGAACCGACATGAGGACACAAGCCATCCATTGGACTTGTAGAAAGGCTGACATTTGTACATGTGATGGCTGTATGCCGAAGCTTATGATGCTATCAGCAGGCGGCATTAGGATAGCATTAATGACAACACTTTTTTTGTAGCGTAGTATAGTTTCCTCCCTTGTATGCTTGTTTGCTAACACTAGTTGACACTTAAGTAAAAGTAAATGTGTGTAAGTACCTTAACTATTGATATTGACATTGAGCAATATAGTAAACTTTTTGTTTTCTTTTAAGGAGTTAAATGACTTGCAGAGAGACCCTCCAGCTTCATGTTCTGCTGGACCTGTAGGAGAAGACAGTAAGTGTGAGGATCTGCATCTGTTGACATCTTTAGAAACCATCTGTTCTTTTCTCTATCTTTTTAATCCTTGAATTAGTGCTGTGTCTTTGAGACTGAGTTGTGACTTGGATGTTATGTGCGTTAATTGCGTAACCTGACGTTTGTTTGTCTTTGCTTCCTTAAGTGTTTCACTGGCAAGCCACCATCACAGGACCGGTAAGCTGCTTCTGGATTTGCTTGCAGCAATTTTTAAAAACCAAATTGCTTCTAGATCTTTAGACAATAGTGTTTTATGTTGACTTTACAGCTCTTTCTGTTGTGTATGGTGAACACAGACTGGCATGCTCTACCATGTCATTCACTGAAGCCCATGACGTTGTTGAGCCACAGATATTGGGCATGCTTTCACTATAATCTGCTCTTGTGTTTCAGAATGACAGCCCTTATCATGGAGGAGTTTTTTTCCTTTCTGTCCATTTTCCCACCGATTACCCCTTTAAACCACCAAAGGTATAAATAGAAATGTCTTTTAAAACATTATCTTTGTTGTCAGATATGAACATCAACGACAGTCTCGTATAGCTGGACTTCAACCACGTTGTAAAAGAGAGCTTTTTCTCTTTTGGGCTTTGTTTTCCTCTATAGGTCGCCTTTACGACAAAAATCTATCACCCAAACATAAACAGCAATGGCAGCATTTGCCTTGACATCTTGAGGTCTCAGTGGTCCCCTGCTCTTACGATTTCAAAAGGTAACTAAACTTTGATTTGCCAGTTCATTACAGACATTACTGCAACAGATGTGGGTCAGAATGATAGACAACACAATTTTAAATGTAAATTGACAGAAGGACAAAAATTAGCCTCATATTTCATACTGATCCTGTCTGAGTTTGTACAAGACGTGTAAACATTGTGTACCTGCTTTGACAACTGATGATTTAAAGTAATGTTCTCTCATTTACTTGTTAATCGCATCTCTTGCACTGAAGTAGAATTCTTTCTTTTTATATTTATTACATGGTATAGAGGATGGGCATTTATTGTATTTATTGTATTATCTAGCATTGCCTTGGGAAAAAATGTGACAAAAATGAGTAAATGTGTTATTATATTATGCTGTTTGCTTACCTCAACACTGATTGAATAGCTGGAGAAACGGTCAGTTTTTTTTCCCATTATTTTCGTGAAGTTATCAATAAATGCAGCGTCTACATTTAAAAATGTGACTTAATATAGTTTTAATATAGTTGTACTGCTTAATTTAAGCATTGAAGGGAAGTGCCCTTTTTCAAATTGCAAAATGTCATTGTTAGAGCAGTATGTAGTGTTTGAGTCTTTTTATCATATTATCATATTTGCAATACATTGCACAAAACTTGTAAAAAAAAAAAAGGATACATATCGTTCTTATGTCCTTTTTGCTGAGTCATTTTGGTTTGTTCAAGGTCACAGCCTGGCCCAAAACGGGATCAGAATCAAAATCAACGGAAATAGACTGTCATACAAATTTTCTGGTATATGTGAGATCTGAGCTTTTGTGGAAATTCATTACCACAACTCATTCCAAGATAATTCGATGCAGTGTGAAATAAATGGCTCCGGTTTAATTTGCACCTTCATTTTGTCCATTGTGCTTTTATTTTGGGACCAGTAACTTCCAATTTTAGACAGATGTGGTCTGACATATCCTGGCATCTCTCCTGGTATTTAACTATTTTCAGACATTTTTGAGACGATTCACCATGAAAATGCTCAAGTTTCCTCTTTCTCACATGCTAATTCCAATTTATTTTAGTTATTTTTGTTCTGACACAAGTGTGGGATCATTGATTAGATACTTATGATCTAAGTGACCTTCTGCTTTTGGTTAAATATAATATAGTAATTAGCCATATAAGCACATTTCCTTGTAATATGAATTGATTGCATGACTGACATGAAGTGAATCCAAAAAGGTGGGATGAAGTGGACAGCATCTAAATAAATTGATACGCTGTTGTTGAAACTGCTATAGCTTTCCATGTATAATGTTGTATTACCACATGTATGCCATTTTGGTCTAAATGTGAGGAAATTAAAGGAATTTTGTGGGATGTCAATGTAATGTATTAGAGATATTTGTGTTGCTTTTAATATATTTTTATTCTGAATAGTGCATGTTCAGAGATGTTCAGGTATATCAGGACCATTTTTCTGAGTTTTCAGACTCTGGCAATTATTAGTCAAATCAATTAGGAATTGGGAATCTTTCAATTTCTTATCTTGTTTGCGCCTCAGAAAGCCAGCTGCTTTAAAGTACATTTTAACCTGGGAAAATGATATTAGGCTGTGATATTTGAGTTGGGGTTGTGTCAGTTCTGTGCATGAGGCTCATATGTGCGGTATACATGACGTTAGAGCTGCAACAGAATCTTTCTACCTGTCCACTAGAGATACATGGGGTGATCAGTTTGCGTTTGGCACAGAGTAACCAGGCAAACACAGAAGTTTGTTTAGAGGCATGAAATGTAAACTTACTTTGAAGACTTGGTGTGGAGTTGTTCCTTTCTCTTGAGAAACTCTTAGCTAAAGTACAGTCAGAAAGATAGAAAAGTGAGGAAGTGCGTATCGGATATCTGTGTGGAGTGCACAAGAAGCAGGAGAAAGATGGAGCATACATACAACAAGACAATCTCTGTTTTGCTTATTTCTTTTCTTTTCAATAGACGGCTCCTAGAAAGATCTAAGCAGGAAGTGCAAAGCAAATTCAAACAAAAAGGCACTTCTTTTACACACATTTTTGTTCTTTTTTTTTTAAGTTTTGTTGTCCATCTGCTCCCTTCTTTGCGACCCAAATCCCGATGATCCACTCGTCCCTGAGATTGCACAGATCTACAAGACAGATAGACAAAAGTAAGTATCTTTGTATTTAATTATCTGACAAATCTCCTTTTTTTTCCATTCTAATAATGTTTTCACTTGACCTCCTAAGGTATAACAAACTAGCTAGAGAATGGACCCAGCGGTACGCAATGTGACGGAAAAATATAAAGCAACAACTTCTGCCAGAACTTCTCAACAGATGACAGTACTGTTAAAGTGCTTTCTCCACACTGGTTGTAACTGAGGTGTTTAATCTGCTTAATGCACTTTCTCTACTGAGGTTTTACTTGACTTAACCCGTTTTACTATTTTGGCATTATTGGAATTATTATTCTGAATATTTTATTTGAAGTGTTGCGGTGGAGCGACTGTATGTTTCTTTGAACAGATTTGTATTTATATTTTTCATTATCTTGAAATAAAAAATATTTAGCAGAATATGAATTCCATTTACTTCTTACCACCTTAAATAAAGGTGGGTTTTTTTTCTCATTCAATGTGTTGTACGACTATTTGACCACATTATTGTCTGTTTTATAGTTTACATGACCACTAGATGGCACACCTCACTTTCTACTAACCAAGCCGTTTTTAATGAGGCGTTATCTGTTCCCCTCCACACGATTTGTTTTATTTAATTTGTATTTGCCAAATGCCTAATTATGTGGACTGTGGTTATTACTGTGTTTTGCTGGAGTGATGAAGTAAAAATAGAAAGGATGTTCTATAAATTAAAATTTAATTATCTTCTCCAACAGCTGTCCCAATGTTCTTGTACAATTAGCAAATATAGATTAATGAAGATGTTCCGGTTTTCTTTTAAAATGTTCATTAATGCTTATTTATGCTGTCCCAGTTGATTGTTTTTGTGTTTTACAGTTACATTTTTGCTACTTAAAAAAATCATTTATATTTTAGCATAAATTAAACTTAATTTCAAGGAAAGACATTATGTTGCAACAAAACTGTTCTGAGTTCTAGTATAACATGCAGACAGTTATTTATGATGAGGATGCCATTTTATGGTCTGTACTTTATTCTATGCAACTGTTCAAATTGTGTAGTAAATCTACAGTGTTTGCATAAGGTAACTTTGTTTTAACTTTGTATTATTTAATTCGTGCAGGATATGAAGATAAATGAGGGTTTTATGCTGCAGATATAGTCTGCATTGAGCTTCATAACCATTCTTTAACAGGCTAATTCCATCCACTAGATCAGATTGTAGTTAGTTGCTAGCGGGAAACCATTTTCGGTGATTTATTATGGCAAAAGATTGTTTTGTTTGTTTTTTTTTTGCCATGTAATTGAGCATTTATTATTTAAATTCTTCATTTTATTTTATATGGTGCAGTAATTATGATGCAGTAGACATGTTGCAACAGACAAATTTAGTGCTTATATATTTGTATGTTTCAAACAATTGGGTGCACAAGCTTAAATTTACAATGAATTCTCTCTAGTTTACACAGGTCAAAATGCTACATACAGTCCCATTGTTATCCTCCCATTCATTATCTTGCATGCTTATCCCTAGTGGGGTCATGATGGATGCTGGTGCCTATCTCCAGCAGTCAACGGGAGAGAGGCGTTGACTTAGGCGATCCTGCAATGGACAGAAGGCCAGTCTATCACAGGGCAACAGAGACAGACAGGAAAAACAATCTTTCACGCACACACTCCCACCTAAGAAGAGTTCAAAAACTGTGGGAAGAAGTCAGAGTACCCAGATGCACAGGGAGAAAATGCAAACTCCATGTAGAAAGACCCCAGGCTGGAATTGCAGGGCAACAGTGGTACCAATTGCCTCACTGTCCAGCCCACCCCATTATTATTTAAGTAAATATCCCATAGCAAGTGGCAGAAACTATACACTTTAGGCAAAAAAGATCTTGGCATGATTTGGACTGGATATTTGTCTATCATTTTTGGCAGGCCCAGTCGAGTTTATCTAAACAGAAGTGAGTACATTTTCAAAAGTTTGAGTTATACCAGAAACTCACTGTTCGCCTGTTTTATCTTCTCTAAAACCAGTTTTGATGTGTGTTTGAAATCTTTATCCTATTTTAACTCTCAATTGTGTCCAGGTTACAAACTTGCTAGCCTAAACTTTTACCTTGAGATGAAAAGAAATGACTTAGGGTGTTTAAGAAACAACAAGCCTGACGCTAGTGCAACTGTCCAACATTGGACACTGAGAACATCGGTTCTCTCTCAGCCCATGGCAATCGAGAAGTCTCTCCCTCAGGAATTGATGTTGCCAATATGTCCAAGCCATATACCTTCTGGTAAAACGTTTAATGTTGGAACAAAACAAAGATTAAACTATTTGGTTTGAACAACAAAAGGTATGTTAAAAGGACCATGATGAAACTCAAACCTAAGAATATTGTAACAGTGTTCGGTGCTGGTAACATCATGTAATGGTCCTTTTTGCTGCAAGGGGTACTGTACAATAAGGAAGTAGGACTACCTTCAAATTCTTAAAATTTGTGTAAACAATTCTGGTGAACAATTCTGGTAAGTCACAAAGACTGTCAGCTGAGTCAGAATCACCTTATGTACACTCACTGGCTACTTTATTAGGCACATCTGCTAAGTTGCTTATTAAAGTGAATAGCAAATCAGCCATGCACATGGCAGCAACTCACTCAGTGAATTTAGACAAGTAGATGTAGTGAAAATGGCTTGCACTGAGTAAGAATAGTCATTTAAGTGAATTTTGAATGCGATGTGGTCATTAGGGTAGATGGGATAGTTTGGTATAAATTGCCAATGTACTGGGATTTAAAGCACAGCCATCTCTTTGGTTTACTGAGTGGTGCAGAAAAAAGTCTAGTTGTGTGAAAGAATTTCCTTATTGATGATTGAGAAGATTATGAAGAACAGACAATAGAGAAAAACAACAACAGCTAAAATAAACAACTTATGATAAGGGTTTGCAGAATACCATCTCTTGAATGTGCAACATGTTGACCTGGCAGTAAATGGGGAAACAGCAGCAGACCATAATATTCATGTTGACTAACAGAAAGATAAATCTAGAACCGAAATTTACACAAGTTCACCAGAACTGGCAAAATATTGTCTGCTCTAATGAGTCTCAATTTGAGCACCAGTATTCAGGGTCAGGATTTTGTGTTAACAATATGAAAGAATGGATTCATCCTGCTTTTATTAACGGCGGTGGTAGTGTAATGCCATGGGGAATGTTTTCTTGCCACAGTTTGGGCTCTTTCCAAAAAACTGTACATTGTTGAAACACCACTTCCCCCTTTAATATACCTGTCTTCTGATGGCTATGTTCTGGAGGAAATGTAGTCGAAGCTGAAATCCTCTTGAACATGATGAGGAGTTCATTGGACACTGATACCTTCTTCTGGTCACCAGATCTCAGTCCAGTAGAGTAGCTTGGAAGGTGGTGGAAAAGGGAATCAGCAGCGCATCAGTATAAACTCTATAACAGTCACTCATCCAGAATCTAGTACATGTACGGTGTTCCTAATAAAGTGGCCAGTGACATGAGGCATCTAATTTCAAAGATGGCCTGCTCTGAATGTCTCTTTGGTTCCATCCACGCATTGGTTCCATCCAGGATTCAAGACGGCCTCGTGTTTTCTTCTAATACTACAAGAAACTTTTGAATGCACATGTTTCGAAGTGTAAAAGTGGATGTAGCCGCTTCTTTCAAGTGATGCATGGAGTTACTCAGCCAGAAACAACAAATGAAATCCAGAACCTTTCTCGGAACCAGTAAAAGATCTTCGCAGGAACCCGGGGGGTGGAGGGCTGGGAGTGGGGGGGCATGTTCTAAAACTTTCTGGGAGGAGTCTGACACGTGAAACTTTCCCGAGGAGCTGCTTGGTATGTGTGCTGGTGGAGGCTCCGTTAACTCTGCAGACAGACGAACAACAGCGAGCGGATCTCTGAGCTGCTGCTGCTGCTGCTGCTGCCAAGAGTCTGTCCAATGGAGGAAAAACGACTGGGCTTGAAGTAACCGCGGATGAAAAAAATATAAATAATATTGATAAGAATAATAAAAACTTCGACTGCCCTACAATGAGCACGCACGACGCCTCGAAGTGACGGATTTTTTTAAAAAGTGAACAGACGTCTGTTTTTATTTTTATTTTTTATTATTGTCTTTTTTTATTATTATTATTTATTTAACTCTAGCTTTAAAAGTCAAATCGCTGTGGCCCCTGGAGGAAGTGACCGCGCGGCGCCATGGCTGCCCAGTGCGACACTCTGAGCGGATACTTGCAGCAGCAGCAGTCGGACCAGGGCTCGAACAGCGAGCGCAGCACCGACTCCCCTCTCCCCGGATCAGAGGAGGACCTCAGCGGGCCCCATCCGCTGCCGGACCCGGAGTGGACCGAGGAGAGGTTCCGTGTGGACCGCAAGAAGCTGGAAATCATGTTGTTAGGTAAATGAATAAAAACTAAAAGAAGAAGAAAAAAAAAAACTCCAGTGAAGTTAATATATTTGTCACAAAGTAGCTACTACCCGACTCATTCAGATACTTAATTGATGGGCAAGTATGGTTGTAATGGCGGACATGTTGGTTTTTCTTGACACCATGTGGCGCAAAATTAAGTTTCTTGTGCATCATTTGGAAGAATCAATCAGAGCAATTAAGGCCGGGCAATTAATGTTTCCAATTATTACTTTGTGACTTTAACACCAACACATAAAGTGACTGAAAAGAAAGTAAATTATAGATTTATTGTTGCTATTTGTCGGTGGATGGATTTAGAGAAGTTTAAAAAAAAGAGTTTCCCTGTTTGGCATTAAAGTTGTAGCCGAACTTACGTGCTCTGACCACAAGGTGTCGCCACACAAGTTCCTGTTTGCTTCCATGTGTGTCTGTAGACTAAACTGAAATTGACCTGAACATTCAGTTTACTTGCTTCCCAGCAGAAGAGTTTGCTTATGCGCACAGCTGATGAAACAGGCTTGGCTCATCTCAAGGTTTTTATGTTTTAGCCTTTCTTTATTGCCAGTGCCTCCATTCATCATGGTTGCTTAAAACATAACTGATTCCTGCTGAGCTGCCAGGAATAATGTCAGCTTCTCTTAGCACTAGGACTGGGTTAGTTTTAGAGTGCCACTGTATTATTCTTGAGTACAAACTTGACATGTATGTCAAAATCTGAATCCGCAACATTTAATTAACATTTAAATACATTTCAATGACGTATTTAAGGCAATTATTCCCATTTCTGCACTGTCAACATTATATATTGCAGCATCAACAAATGTAATATTGCAATGCAAAGTACTGGTGGGCGATATGGACTTAAAGTTTTATCACAATGTTTTGCGGTACTATTGTGATAATGATTAATGTTCTGATAATAAATGTTTTTTTCTGAAGTGGCTGTGACTGAATGGCACAGCTACCATAGCTCCACAAACTCAAATACATCTCCTGAAAAACATATTTATTTGTAATACGCTTCATTAGGGCACCAGTAACATAGAAAGTGTGACTTGTATCACCAGACTTTACACTGTAACCGTATTTAATCGTATTTTGAAATGTATTGATATTTATTTACACTCTCATTGAACAAACAGTGGAGTTAACAGTACAAATAATAATCTTGACAATATGGACAGATTAGTTTTCTTTTTAAACATCATCAATTGGAAATTATTGTGATGATAAGTCAAAATACTTATCATGACAAGAAATGTATCATGATAATTGATAAACTGTATTGTATAGATGGCTTAAAGGCAACATATTGTATGCAGGCTGTACCACTTCAGAGGTCATGTATTCAAACTCTGCTTCCTCATAAACTGACCACATGGATTTACTGTCATTATCTTTAAGACTCACTTCTTGTGTCGATTGTGCTGACTTAGATGCTTAAGTCCAAGAACAGTAGTAGAGACAGTGTGTTGATGTAAAAAGGAAATGTGAGTAACGGTTGGGTTAATCACAATCAGTTCCATCATTGAAATATTCAGACATAATATTGCAGGTTTAGGATTTAGTACTGCAGACAGTCATAATTATCCAAGCCATATTAAAAAAAACAGTAAGTGCCTGCTAAATTTAGAAGTAGTAGTTTTCAAGGTAAAAGTATATTTTGCTAAGTATTCTTTTTTTTGTCAATCTGCTACAGAATAACACAAATCTAATAGCATGATATTAGCTATTAGCTGGTTGATTACCAGCTAATATCATGTTATTGGGATCTTACGAGGCCATCAGTCATGCAACCAGTCAATCTACATAACATGCATGGCTTTCTAGTAGGGATCCATGATATTATTGGCATGGTATTGGTATCGGCCGATATTAGCTATGAAATTTAATTTTGGACATGGGCCATTCTGTCACAGTAACTCATCGATATAAAAGGCGCTGTTTTTATATAGCAAACCAGTGACAGTGATGCTTGCAGCACAGCACAACGTCATGATGTCACGCGAGCCTACCTGCTGTGATCATGGCGGGAGAGCAGGACCAAGAGAAAACGTCAGCGGTGTGGAAGGTTTTTAAAGTGTAGGAAACTGGTAGCAAAACTGCTATTTGTGGTGAATGCTCAGCATCAGTGATGCGAGGAGGAGTGACAGCAAAGTCCTACGACACTTCGAAGTTAACAATCTCAAGAACCACCATTCTGATCATTATGATGAGTTCACAGTGGTCAAAAGGGAAAGCGAAAGAGCGGTTGCTTAACTGCGGAGAAAAAAAAAACTCATTAGCAGTTGATTCTGCAAGCTAATGAAACTCAAATGAGTTTTAGTATATTGGCATCATTTTGTCTTTAATTTCAAAACAAGCGTGCGTCATTTTGACGCATTGGTTGGTGGAGCTGAAGTGGCTATCAGTATCACAGGAACACAGTGGCTGCGAACTGCTTTGAAGCTGCTTTCTGTGTCAAAAGTTTGCAGAACAGAGAACACGGAATATTTCAAGTGTTTCAAACGTTGCACTTAGTTTAAAGTGCATTCTGTGTAACGGGATTTTAGGAGGCCATCAGTAAATTTTATGGTGTTCTAATATAATATTTTGGAAAGCAGCTGGTCTTATTCTGAACACAGACAGATGTGTGCATGCACACATGTGGCTCCCCTCGAGAATGTCCTGGTGGCTGTCTCGGTGCTCCGTACATTCCTCAAAGCTCCATGTCATCTTGAACTCTTCCAGGAAAACAACCGAGTCGGAGTCCTCCGGACATACCATGCACCACGTCACGCCAGCTTACCCAAACATTTCTGTTTGTGCTGTTCTGCATCGGTGTATGTGACATGATGGAGTTGTTTGGGTGAATCTCAACAGTTTTTCAGTTTAGCCTCTTAGTTTTTTTTCTTTTCTTTTTTTTCCTGCCAACATCTCGTTTCCCAATCTTGTCTTCATTACATCATGGCTGAAACGGCTCTTGTTGACTTTGCAGTTTGGATGCGGAGTGGAAACGTCTGCTCTGCTTCAGTCGCTGATCTGCCTGGTGGGTCGGAGCTTCAGACTTTCTCACCCTTGAAACTGCTTTAACTTTTGACCTTTGCCCCCTGCAGCAGTTAACAAAATATTTTATGTATGTATACTATGGTGACAAGTCAGTAAAGAGTCAGCAGTGGAACTGTTTTACAAACGGTGATTAGTAACTGCAAAAAAATACAGAATTAGATACTCTTATTTTTAACCTTGTGCAAGTCAATTTAAATCGTAACAAATGATTCCCTCATCTATTTAAATCAGAGCTCTGTAACATCTGCTTGTGCTTTGATTGGAAAGCTTTATATATTTGGATGTGGTAAGGCCAGAGTTTGGACCATAATGAAACCATTTTATGAGAACCCCAGTATATTTTTATATCCACTGTTATATCGACCGTAACGATCTCGCTGCTTTGTCTTTCCCGGAAAATTAACTGCGACTTGACCTTCGGGAACGAGCCAAAGGGCATCATGCTGTAATCACTTCCCACACAACAATATTTCAAATTGTTGGCTGCATCCAGGTAGTCTGTCTGCAGAAGTTTGTTGTTTCTTTGGTTGTTTTTGAAGCCATACTGACCATCTGGTCTGGTATTGCAAAATATTGCTACTGTGAATGGTGAAACTGTGCAATCTTAAACAATGGGACATTGAAAACTTCTGCCACAATGTTAGTCAATAATTACAAAAAGAAAGTTTAGAAAAATTTTAACTAGATGACAATTTAACCAGATTAGATTGTTAATTTGTATGCATTGTATGGGATTGACTCAAATTAGTGCATAATTTTTAAAAGAAGAAGAAGCAGAGTACATGGGTTTTAAGGATACCTAACATTCTCAAAGGTCTGCTGGTTTAATCTGCTGCCCCTAGATAAATCCAGTATCACTGTCTTCAGAAGTCACATAATTAGGTATAATAGTATACCTGTTTCTAATTTATCATTGGTATAAATTAGGGTGAAAAAAATCTTTTAATTTTTAATATTATTGTTTCAATTCACCAACATTTTCAGTCTTTTCTTTTTGTTTTCCCCAACTATCAAGGTTTTTGCGACTAAGGCAGGTGCATCATGGATACTAGGCCAGCTTCACTTAAGAGATCCAATGTATTGTTGGTGTGCAGTGTTATTGTCTGTTCTTGAAACTTTACAGCCAAGCAGCCGTTGTGTTTACACTCTGATATTGCAGTGAAAGTTTCTTCTCAACATCATCTGCATCTTCAATAATCTCTGAAGCCTTCACGGTTGTTCTGTGTATTGTGCGTGTTTTAATGTGCACCACTGCAAATGTAATCTTGAAATTCCCTTTTGACGCATTAATATTTTTACATCCTGTAGAATTATAGAGTGTTAGCCTTACTTTCTGTTCTTAAGCCATGTCTATAAAAAAGGAAACGTGAGCCTGAAGCTCAGTTCCTCTGCAGAATAAAGCTGCTGTGCATTCTGTGTGCTTACAGCACGGTTCATAAGCGAATCCATTCCAAGTGTAATGCGATGTTTCCACCAGGAGTAATTTCACCCCTTATCCACTTCCTGCGTTTTTATTTTTGTACCTGCTTTGACAATTGATGATTTTAAAGTGATTTTCCCTATGCTGTTCAATTGGAAACCTACAATTGGAAATATAATTTTTTTCTTGTCAAACATAGACTGTCATGGAATGGAAACTAAAGGCACACCACCAGTCACTCATATTTAAGGTTATGCTGTTTTAAAACTAGGTGACTAGTCCCAAGCAGCATGCCCAAACCATTTTTCACTACATGCTACTACAACATGACTCATTCTGACCCTTGTCTAATGGCTAGAATATGCAAAGACTGGCACATAAAAGTACAGAACTAGAGTTGCATAGTGTGAATTCTGGTACATAATAGGGACGTAAGTGAAATACCTCCCAGTAATAGACCCTAATCTACTCTCTTAAACTGTCAGATATTGTGCATGGCTTTCCTGTCTTTGCATGGTTT